CTGCCAGAGTTCCCTCTGTTTCAAGGCTGCATGTGTCAGTCACTCAGAAATAACACAGAGCAGTGAGGAACAGCTTTTAAATTACAGTGAAAGAAGCAGGCCATGCATGGACAGGAAAAACACAAGCCTCTAATTGCTTGGGAGCCCTTGGAGATGAAAGTACCACAGGAATGCCACATAGCAGTGCTGCTAGCATTCATGCTGTGCTTCTAACTAAAGTAGCTTTCCATATGTACCAGTTGTGGAGAGAGACAATAATGGAGCTGGAGAAAATCACACAGCTCATTAAATCTGATGGCCTGCTATGTAGTAACATGGGGAAGTACATGGAGTAAGCTTCTTCATACAGTGGAAATCACTGTCCAAAGCTGTCCATTCCCCACTAGCTGCACTGAAAGCCCCAGGAAAAATGCATTGGGGGAACAAGGAAGGTCCTTTGGAGCTGACTGCAAGTAAAGCAGCTGATTGGCATTTGTAGCAGTCTTTGTGAAGAAAACCAGGGTGGACAAGCCAGAAGAACATTGTGTTTCTGAGATGACTGCAGGATTGTACTGGAGAGAGGGAGAAGTGCCTCCTGCTGCGCTGGTATGTGCAAGGTACACAAGCTGAGGGAATATCCAGCTCACATTTCCTCCTGCTGGAAGTAAGGCATCGAGTTCCAGCTGCCAATAGGCTGCTCAGACCAAAAGCTCACCTATTTTCCAAGCGCTTAGGTAAAAATAGAGAAATCGTAAGTTGCAAGTAAAGCTTCTGCTCTATTATTGTACCAAAGCACTTCATCTTAAATAATGCCGGTGATACTACTTTGTGTGCGCTTCGGGGCAAGCTGCAATCCCTTACCTAACAGCACACGAGCCTGCAGACAGCCCAGGGTAAATGAGATCATTACCATACACAGAGAGCCATCACCCTGCTTGCTCCCGGCAAGGGATCGACTTCCTTTTGCTGGGAGACCCTATCTTCACAACCAGCACTCTGAGCCCTCCGGAGCTTCCCCAGGAAGGAGGGATTGGACGCTCCGGCTTCATGCGGCGCCCTCACCGCTCCGCAGCCGTGAGGCACCCAAGGGCACCAGGGCGCGCGCTGCCCTCGGCGCCCCGCGGTCCCGCCCGCCGCCATGTCGCGCCTGCGCGCTACCCGCCCGGGGCGGGCTGTGCAAGATGGCGTCGAAGCCGACTCGTACGGTGGTTGAGGAGTACCGACCTAACCGCTTCGTTTCGTTGCCGGCTGAGCTCGACCCTGCCACTTATGACACGTCGCCGGAGAAGCGCCGTGCCGAGGCCGAGCGCTTGGCCATCCGCGCCCGGCTCAAGCGGCAGTACCTGCTGCAGCTGAACAACCCGAAGCCGCCGGCCGTCATCGTGAGTGGGGCGGGGGCGCGGGCTCGGGCAAGGTCTGGGGGCGCCGGGCTGGTCGGGGGGACGGGGGAGGCCCGCGGCAGAGCCTGAGCACGTCCCGGGCCCTTGCAGGCGGGGCCGTGCCGTCCTCTGCCTGTGACCTTGGTGTGTGCCTCTCCTGGCCTGCACTACTGGGTCCATATAGCGTGTTGTGGCCTGGGGCGCTCTTGCAGTGCTTCTGGGCCGTGTTTTGGGGCTCACAGTTTTCTTGTTATCTCAGGAAGATCCTGCCTTACTCCGTTGGGACTATGCCAGGACGCACAACATCTACCCCACTTTCCGCCCGACGCCCAAGACGTCCTTCCTAGGAGCTGTATTTGCGATAGGCCCTATCCTCTTCTGGATAGCCGTCTTTAAAACTGAGAGGGTGAGTTCTGCTGATTGTGTTGAGCATCAGGGAACACCAGGCTGTAAAACACAGATCTGCCTAAAGACTTAATTCTGCCTGCATCTAAGGGTGCTTAATACTAGTGCAGTATTAAGGGACAGAAGGCTAGTTAGTGCCAAACCTTCTATTTCAAAGTCTCGTAGCGGAGTTGCAAAGTTGCAAACAGCTGAATTGCACTGTGCTGAGGCCTGTGTTGCATCCGCAGATACAGCCAGTCACAGTTTCTCTGATACGACATTTTGCTCGTATATAGAAACCATAATAAAGGTTTCCATGGTTCCACTGACTCTAAATTAATTATAAGCTGATGACAGTGTCTGATCTTACCTGGGTTTTTGAGCTTTTGGAAGCTTTTGTAACTTGCTTCTGTTGTAAATCCTGGAATGAGGATGTCAGAATCTAAGCAGCAGCAGATTTTTCTGAAAGTAATCAACTGTATTCATTAGAATTATAGAATTGCTCAGATTGGAAAAGACCTTAAAGATCACCAAGTCAACCACAACCTAACCATACTACCCTAACTCTAACAACCCACTATTAAATCATGTCCCTGAACACCACAGCCAAATGTTTTTTGAACACATTCAAGGATGGTGACTCAAGCACCTCCCTGGGGAGCCTATTCCAGTGCCTAACTACCTTGTAAAGAAGTTTTTACTGTACTTTGGAGTATGCTAGGTGACTGCCAGTCAGTGGCTGGTTTTATTTCCCTCTTCTTTCAGAAAAATAGCAAATTTAGATCAAGTAATAAACCAGGAAACACAAAGATCAGTATTATTTGGAATAATATTTTCTAGTATGAATCTAAAGTAACAAGTGCTAACAAACTTACCAAGCATGTTGACACAAATATTGTTGGAACTTCAATATTTCCACAGTTCATTGTCACTCTGGATTTGCTTCATATGCTAAACCATGCTTGGGCTTCGCCACAAAGCGTGGATCAGCATGTGAGCACTTGAAAACAAACCTGAATGAGTTACATCCCTGACATACATGACTGAGAATACTGAATCTGAAGTGTGTGATACTATCTCCAGAACAGTGTTTTCTGATTCCTTTACTGGTGTTTAGGGATATTTCCAGTGGTTTATAAAGCACGGTAGTTGTTATGTTTTTTTCTGAGTAGTGATTGTTGTGTGTCTGGGAAGCTAAAGAGGGACTTCTCAGTCTTAAGCAATTCTGTATTTATCCAGGCAGAAAGAGTCAGGGCAGTTTCTGTGTGTGGTAACGTGTCTGAAATGGTGGATGACTGCAGTGTGAGATACAAATGGGCTGAAAGTGAGCACATTTAGTGAACATTTAGGCAAGTTACTAAGGAGTTTCACCATACTTAGGTCTTTAAACTAGGTATGGTAATATATTCCTATACTCTTTGCTGAAATATTAGAGTTGTTTTGCTCTTATCCCTGGCTGATTGAAACTTCCTCTCCATTAGAGTAATGATGAATGTTCTCTCTTCCACAGGATTATAAAGAGAAGCTTATCCGAGAAGGTAAATACGAGCGACCATTCAGTGTTTTTTAAGTTGCTGGAATCACAGTGCTGCTCTTGAGACAGAAGTAAATAAGATGTACTGTATGCTGATGTTTCTCCTTCAGAAGAATAAATCTTAATTACTCCTCAGTCGTCTTCCATCTTTAATAATTATGGAAAGTGCAACTGTGCAGAATCTTTATATATCTGTTGCAGATAGATACAGAGAGCATGTCCTGAGCTTACTAGTTAACTCTTTCGTTATAAAGATTTCTTTTAAAATGTGGAAATTGCTGCTGGCAGAGCAGTTCAGGCTGAAGGTTAAAACTAATAACAGGTTAAAATATGAAGCAATCCCTATACAGTTTCCTAAAAATCAATTGCTCATTTACTAGGTACTTCTTCTGTTGTTGATTTGACGATGTAATTTGCCCAAATCAGGTAATAGACAAACTCCTTTTCTATATTCTAGTTAACTATTTAGGAGCCTGCCTGCCTGTTCTCAATAAGTTGATTTTTCCTTCCCTGAAAAAAACATAATCCTACACCCTATATTTGAAATACAATTACTGTACTGGTTTTGGAAATAGTGAACTGCACATTGTCAGTTTTTATGTGACTAAGCATTTCCACAAATTTTGTGATTCCTGTATGCAGAGGATCAAGAGCTAAAAAGATGAGGTGCTTCTTTTTGGCAGTGGTTTCTTTGCAGTATAAGAGAATTCAATTTCTCCCCTGGAAACAAGCTATGATATTTATAATAAACATTTAAAAAGCATAACTCGTAACTGAACCTTGTGACTGCAGAAGTATCTCCTCTGCTTATTCTCTGCCAGGGTCAGTGATGTAGGGTGGCTACAGAACAGTCACCACAAAGTAGTGAAATGTGAGTATGAGGAAAAGATCTTAACTCAGACTTGAATTCTCAGATGGCCTCTAGGTGCCATCACAGTCCAAACAACCCTCATTCTTCAGACAGTGTAAAGGAGCTTTTTTTCCTGAATGTTGAGGTCAGTGTCAAAAATGCAGCCTTAAACGTGAGTTACAAATCCTCCTGCTGTGAGTGCAGCCTACGTTACTGACTGCAAAGCAGGTCAGTTCTGGTAGGCATTCTGTCTTGCACGATTAGGATGTTGGTACAGGCCATTTGGAGTCTCCCTTCATCTGAGCAAACTGATGAGCCTCTTCACAGAATCACAGAACAGCTGGTTTTGGAAGGGACTGCTGGAGGTCATCTTGTCCTCCTGGCTCAAGCAGGGTCTTGTAGAGCTGGGTCAGAACTGTCCAAAAGGTTAACATCTCTGAAGCAGGTGTCCTCTGTGGGCAAACTGTTCCAGTGCTGTCACAGTAGATATATGTTTGCTGATATTTAAAATAAGCAAACAAAAAAGTTTTTAAAGAAGTGTTTCCTGTTCTAACTCATCACTTTCTTGCCTGGGTCTTGAAATGTTCAGGCCGGCTGGAGGCTTGGCACTAGTAGTGTGCAGCAGCTACTCTGGACTTTGGCCTGCTTTTGCAATCCCATATGTGCTCCCAGCAAGCACCTGTCTGCAACTTGCTCTTCTACTGCCTTAGCTAAAGCACACCTCAATTATTTTCTTTGCAGAACTGCTTCTAAAAGGTTACTGCAAATGATGCTACAAAATAGAGCTGTGGGTCATTGCAAAGAGAAGAGGCATCAATGCATGGAGGATGTGATATGTAGGGAAAGAAATAATTACTTGTCTGAGCATGCTAAATTAACTATCTTCCTGCTACCATAAGCTAATTTGATTTCCCAGGACTCATTTCCTCAGCTAATTGGAACTTCAGTTGCCACATGTGTAAATTTTGCCTTGCAGCTGTATTGTTTTAGGCCAGTTGAACAAATTGTTCAGGATGGGTTGTGGATGGGAGCAGCATCTCTGGTCTTCTAGGCCAGCCTTTGGCTGGCTTGCTGCACCTTCAGGAGTGTCTGCTATGTCTCCATGGGTTTGAGTATGGTGATCTGAGGAAGGCTGCCCTGCTTTTCTCTTGTGCTACTTCCAGATCTCCCCAGGCTGGTGGTTTGTTTTTTTTTTTTTTTTTGTGAGGAACAAGCATGTGTTGCTGGGGGTGAGGTTGGTTGTTTGAGGCTGTGGTGCTGGGTGAACACGGGAAGAAGAGGGGTGTTCCCTTCAGAAACGAAGAGAGAAGACAGAAGGGTAAGTGTGCCTGATGGAATTTTACCCTTGACTGATGTGTAACCACTCATTTCTGCTTCAGTGATAATTCTGTAGCAAGAGAAACCCAAGCCTGCAGGTAATTGGATCATAATTTATGTCCCAAACAGAAAACAAGCTTTTCCTCTCAGGCTGTGAAACATTTAGACCTCATTTATTCCTGGATCAGTCTGATTAAGTCAATTTTTCTGACAAATGGAGCCTCCTGATCGTCATCTTCTGAGTTGGCTATTTTAAAGCAAACATCTCCCTGTAGATTATATAACATAGTGCTTTGCTCCTCGCTGATGGTTTTTTTCCCTGAAGGATCTGGTGTAGATCCAAGTCTGATGTTGTACATAACTGATTGAAGCTAGGTGTTCCAGCTCTGTGTTTCCTTCTTTTTTGGGAAATGGAAGATTGATCCTTTGGAGAAGTAGGAAGCACAGATCCTTCTGGTACCAAACTTAGTAACAGTTTTGTATCCTAGACTGAAACACGTACCCAATCTTTTTAGTTTCCATGGGCGCAGTAGGATAAATCAGTTCCCTGAGAAAATGAAATGAGCATGATTTTCAGCAAATTAGTTCAGGATCTGAGAGGCAAAGTGCTTGGCAGCAAAATTTAGCACTACCTATTGGACTAAATTTGACATTTCAAAATGTTGTTTTGATATCACAACAAAAAGTGCATGTGCTAAAGCAGAGGCCTGAAGGTAGTTATGCATCTCATTCCCAGAATAATTGTTTGGGGTTTCCTTTTCTGCCCGCACCCTGTGGAACAGGAGAGTGGCTCAAAGTTACCACCGAGGGGTGAGGCTTGAGTATTCCTGTGCTTTTTGAGGTTCTTCGTAAAAGAGACATCAATTGTTGACAAAGAAGTCAATGTTGATGGACAACTAAAATAAGATTGAAAAGGAAGCTTTCCCTTAATTAACAGTGAGGCGCTTTGGATTCTCTGACCTTTTCTAATCTGCAGAATGCTTTTCTGACCATAAGGGCTCTTCTTGGCAACCATCCACAGCCCAGCAGGCTGAAATGCCCTGTTCTGGTAGGAGGCTTACATCTGATAGAGTTTTCAGCTCTGTTTGGAAAAGTCTTCCCTTGCAGGTGGCATGAAATGCTTCACTGATCTTCAGCTTCTCCCTGTGAAAGGCACATCACACCATATAGTCAGGAGCCCTTGGAATGGTGGCTGTCACCTTGCATTTACAGCAAGTACAGCATTCATACCAACTGCATATGATGAGAGGCACTCAAGTATTTCAGCTCCAGAGTGGCACCAGGATAGCTTTAATTGGGTACTTGAAGGCTAAAAATAGTGGTTTTCATTTCATTTCCCAAATTACATAGGCATGGTCATTTTATTAACTTGGTGGCTGCTGGAAGTGCCATTCTGCACTCTTGTTGTCTGAGCTGGCTGTGCTGCCACGTATAGGTCTGCTGGGTTTCCCTGTTTTTGTTCACACACTGCAAGAGACAAATCCATCTCTTTACTTGCAGTTAGGGTTGAAGTGGCTTTTCAGAGGTTCCCAGCACTTGTAGTAGTTTTTATCTAGGCGGTTGGAGGTCTTGAGGCCCCACTCAGTAACAGCCATACTGAGGGAAGATTCAAACATGAAGGCCTGGTGGGAATAGGAAAGGTAGGTTAGGAGAAGGGAGAGTCTGAATCCAGGCAAGAGGACTCGACTCTAGCACAAACAGGAACTGTACACGTGTCCAGCTCTGCCAAATTCTTCATCTGACCTGATCGGCCCAGGGGGAGAAAACAACTCCCAGCAGAGATAGGCACATCTCTTCAGAGCTGGCGCTACAGTGCTGGTGTTAGCCAGGTCCCAGGAGTGACTTTGGACTCTGCATATCCTGAAGGCCAGGTTGCTCAATAAGCTCTAGCTCTGAACCTATTGGCGATGATTTAATTTTATTTTAGGGAGTAAGAAAGGAAGACAGTTATGGGTTTGACTTCTTTGTCCATAGCCTAAGACAAAAATTAAGTTAATCAGCATGAAAATTCCCAGCTTCCAGCTCAGGCAACAACTTATGTGGTCAGAAGATCAAAGCTGCCACATCTCATATCCAATCAGCCAGAAGTGTGAATGCTACAGCAATTTGGTCCAAGAACTTTTCCACCTTGCTTGTAAGAAGCTAGGCTTTGTGAGTGTCTCAGCAGCAATATGTTGTGCTGCATACAAAACCTTACAGGCTCCTTACCATAGTCCCTTCTGCAACTCTCTCAGGCTCCAACTTGGCTTTGCTCGCCTTCTCAAAACAGTCAGCGTCTGGCCCGTGTGGAGTCATCATGCTGTGCAAGCTGGCCCCTCCAGGCTGGAAGCCCTCCTCCTTTGCTTCATAATGGCCTTTGATGAGCCCCATGAACTCACTCATGCAATTCCCTAAGGACAGCATAGAGAAGACTTTGTAACACAAAAGCAGCCAAGAGCTTGAAACCCACAGAGCAGGCAGTATGGGGAATGGAGGTTAATAAACATGGCTGCACAGGAGAAGACATCAGGGATCCTACAGGCAGTGCTTGCAAAGTGGTAAAGGTTCTATCACACTTTCAGTTATCTGGAGTCAGAAACAGAAAACTCCCTAATATGAAGGTGCATTGATGTGGGTAGACCTGTGTTTTTCCTGCTACACTGAGCTGCATAAGCACTGAAGCTGCACACAGACTGTATCTGGGTAACTTGGTATCTACAGACCAATACTGGAGATATTAGATATTAGAGATCTGAAAGCACTGGAAAGGTAGTTCAGTGTAATCATCCTTGTGTTTCTGAGGCACAACCACCTGTTGAGACAGCCTAGGCTGGAAGCACAAAATTATTGTGTTCTGTGTCCTTCTGCCACTCTAGTCCAGCCAGGGACTTCAGTACCTTATGCTTTTGATGCACACAGGATCTACTTAGTTCTCAAGAGCCACTGTGTGCACAAAGACAAGGAGACAAATTCTGTCCTTCCCTAAGGAAGAATACCTTAGGCAGACCCTCTGAAACTAATGGAGTGATGTACCCTAACTTAGCAACAGATGGCCAGATCCAATAATGCAGTACCTATCAGTTATACTCCCTCTGAAGAAAGTATGTTAACAACTGCCATTGCAGTCTTCCAGCTTTAGTAGATCTGATGTGACTAAGCAATATGGCAGCTTTCTGCTGAGTGGTCAGTTTGCTGCAAAACCAGGACATGCTTCTGCAGCTCTGCTATATATAGCCTTTTTTAACCACTTGTTCTGTCTTTGTTAAGTACAACCTGAGGCCTGAAGTATTTAACAACAAAACTAATTTAGCTCAGAGCACAGTTGGCCTAAAAATGTATGCAAACAATCATTTATTTTCATCCCATGTTGCCAGCATCTCCTGTAAGAGTCGATTGTACAGGCTTTTCATTGAACTCACTTAAGTGCTGTGCTTGGAGCAATCAGGGAGCAGTACAGGCTGTGAGAGCTTCATTACCAATGTGCCCTCTACATAGCTCGTCGTATCACTTGGGGAGAATGGGCTGGTGAGTAGGAAGCCAGGCAGAGACTTATGTGTTGAGCAATTTCTTGTTCAACTGCAGGTTTCCTATGTGACTTCCAACAACTTTGGTGTGCTTCTGCTCCCTGTCTGTATAAAATAGCACTATCCTCTCCAAAGACAATGTTGCGAAGTCAAAAAACCTCAGTGGCTATTAGATATTCTGTCCTACCAAGAATCATACAAACACTCTCTCAGACATGGATGCAATATATACACCTGGTATAAAAGAGGTATCAGATATATTTCTACCTCTGGCCCAAAGACTTTAGGAGTAATTCACAGCCTCCAGGCATGTAGAAAGTGATGGAGAGAAATTTTTCTTATGAGCCATCTTTGTATTGAAATAGTTGTGGTGTCTAGGGATGTCTGCTAAGGTGGGAAATTTTTGGAATACCATGGCTATATTCCTGCTTGGGGCAAAGTTAAGGCACCAAGAAAACCGTAACTCTGAGTGCACCAAAATTCTCTGAACGCTTCTTTGAACAGACTTTTTAATGCACATGAGAAGAAGAGGCCAAAAGGCATTTCTGGGAAAAGAACTCTTGAACTCTCTACAAGATCTCTTGAAAAATGTTTGGAAGAGAACATTTACTGAATTAGTGTTTCTCTTATCACCCCAGTTTCTTGTCCTGCTATGCCTCTGCAGTGACGTAAAGTTCTCATCACAGCACAAATTTCTGAGGGAACTAGTAAGCACAGCATCCTGAGAGCTAGCTGTTGTGATTCCAACTGTACCCATTCAAGCTTTAGTCCTCTATGTCTGGGCTAGAGTAGATGCATCGTAGTCACTATGGATTCAGTGCTAAACCTATGGCCAAGGCATTGTTGTCAAACAAATACCTGTGGTAGCTGTCTGCGTGGAGTCTGGTAGGGTAACTCAGTGTGGGGAGCCAGGTTTCTAGCATCCATTCAATGCAACATGTGGCAGGGACTACCAGAAAGAAACTACCCCTAGGGGTGGTGACAAAATCCCCCAAATACAGCCAGTTCTCAGTCTGAGAAGGAGCCCAGTTCCTCCCTCTGGCTTTTGTAAATGCCAGTGGTACCTCCACCACTGTCCAGGAGTGAAGAGGGGCTCAGGAGAGCCAACCCAACCCTTCACTGCAACTCTGAGCTCACCCTGCTAGTTCATGGGAGCTCTCACAGTGCTTTACTCCATGTGTGTTGTCATATTTTCCATTCTCCCATTCTTTCGTACCCTACTGAGTTGTTCTATAATTCATGGTTGGATGGCAGGATAGTATCTGACCTGTTCATGCAGTGCAATTTAAGTGTGCACCCCATCTCAGTGGGAGTCCCTTGGGTACAGGCACAACCACCTATGCCAGCACAACCAGCCCTCACCTCTGAGCTTTCCCAAGATTCTGCAAATAATAACATCTCTGGTTTTGTTCATTTTTCAAGGAGAACTCACTGACTTCAAGAAGCTGTGTGTAACTGTGCCAAGGGCAACAAATGTGACTTTTTCACTGTGTGTGCTTTCAGATAAATGGAGGCTTGTTTTTTCTGCGCCTCTGCACTCAAACAAAACCCACAAAAACCAGACGTACTGTGGTAGTAAGGCGGCCGGAAGGTGTTGTTGGCAACCCCCCATCGTGGGGGGAATATGACAAAGTCAGCGATTGCCACTCCAGGACGGGTCGACTTGGCTGTCAAGACAGTGAAGATAGATGGATCCTGAAAAAAACAACAAAGGAAAAAGCATCAAACAGAGCATGACTCAGGTCACCCCATCGATAAATCTGGATATGAGTATGCATAACAGACCTTGGCCTTTCCCTAATTTCTTCAATTTGAGGATCTCAAAATAATTTGCTTTCCTTCCCTTTTCACCCTAATGGGTCACAATTCCTCTTTGTGTAGAGGAGAAAGCTGAGTGTGTGCAAGCATGGTATCCTTAGGATTTGGGATGCAGCACTGTGACTCCAGGAGCTCCTACCACCTCTTGGCAGTTTTTGAGCACAACATCCTACCAGGGGTATTCACCTCATAGCACCAGTGGCTGACTAACAGGGAGAACAGAGTGCAGATAAATTGTCACTTGCTTCAAGGATTTTTGAAGTTTCCACTCCAGTAGAGCGATTTTCTGGGCTTTGATCCCAAACCTATCTTTCTCCTGGCAGGTTTTTCCAGAAATTAAACAATGCTTTCTGCTGGTTGTCTCACTAGCGGTGCTTCCGTCTCCTTGCACACCCACTTGCAGAAGCAGCCAGGAGATGGTATGGCTGTGGGCACCTCTCCCACTGGGCTGGTTTCCTTTTTTAGAAGAGCTGCTCACATTGATTTTGGCTTTAGTTATTTTCCATAAGATCTAGAAATTACTGCAGTGAGAGCTGCCAGCTCTTGGAATGTGTTTCAGGGGCTCAGATGAGCCATGTACAATTGCAATAAAATCAAAACAAGAATTTTAAGCACACGTCTTTTCTCTGAGTTGCATGGTGCATACTGGCTTCAGTATTCAGCCCTCTTCCAGAGCACAGACTTTCTATGCTAAGTTGTTTAGGAAGCTGATCGACCTCCAGTTCTGTCATTGCAGCACCATGGAGGCTGTCTTTATTTATTTATTTATTTATTTTGCAAGGATTTGTTTGAGGCCAAGGAAAACAAAAGTGGCAGACTGTTTCTTATAGCATAATGTATTTTTTAACAGTCACTGGGACCTTGGAGCTCTTGGGTGAATTCTGATGGTACAGCATCCACAAAGCTTTGCTCTGCCTTGCTTGGCTCCAGAACTTACCGCATGGTCAAAAGCGACAGAATTAATGACCATAAAGTTTTCCAGATGGTATTTGTATGGTGTGTAGTTCCCATGCCAGGCTACAACGTTGAAGGGGGAGAAATCCTATCAAAGCAATAGGGACAGAGAGAACGTTACCACACACAACTCTCCACCTTTTGGCACACACACAGGGTGCTGTCCCTTCTCAAGTTAAAATGGTTTTAGTGCTGGTGATAAATGTACTGACAGCCCGGAGCACAAGGCCCTTCAGGCCCAGCCTGATGCTGCAAGGACATGGTTTTCCTCAGCATTCCCACCTGGAGAGCTGTAGCCCTCCTTTCAGGGCTCCATCTCTGAAGAAATTTGAGTGCCAAAGCAGTGCTTGAACAAGGTGGACTCCAGCACTGGCTCTCCAGCATTAAAAATTTGCATTGGGTTTCCCTATCTGTTAGAAACATGGGTATGTAGAAATAAGGAGGCCAAGACCACCACTGAGTCTTTGGGTTAAGCAAGTTTCCATGGACTGTTTTTGCAAATTGAGGAGACTCAGCTGGAAGATAAAGGAGCCAAGGTGAGAGTTCAGTCCTATTCCATTTCACCAGCTCAATGTCCTGAGACAACATGCATGCTAACAAGCTGTAGAGGGACCACATTATGCACTGGTGGATGCTCTAGTTGTTTTCCTGTGCCCTCCTTACCTGCTGGGCTGCGAACAGCTTGCCCTGGTACTTGCTGATAACTGTGTAGCCCCCTGGAATTTTCCGGTCCTCATACCATGCTACTGGCACCAAGAAGTCACGTGGGTTCGCCAGGCCATTGGCTCCTGCAAAAGAAAGAAATGTCAAAGCATGCTGGGCAACCTGCTATCAGAGCTCTGTGGGTGCCCTTCTGCACTGGGACTGACCACACTTCTTCTGAGTCCATCATGAAATCTCCAATATTCGTGTTCCTCGTTGGCTCCTATAAGTAGATAATTTTAATATATCCTAGCATTTAGGTCCATGCTCTCTTATGTGACTGAGACAAGTCTCCCTCCCTTCTTTCCTAAACAGCATTCAACCTCTATTAAAGGTGTGTAGATATTGGAAATTAAGCAAAAAAAATGGAGGGTAAATTGCTCTCTGTTCCTGGGCATCCTGCTGCTTGGACACTTAGGAATGCAGAAGCATGTCATGAGGGAGCATAATGCTTTTCTGAACAAAAAAGTAATAAAATGAGGGCTAGTGATACTTGTAGACATTGAGCATACTGAGGGGTGGTTAGTGTGAGGAGCGCATTTTCACAATGCAGAGCACCATATGGGTGCTGCAATATTTTTCTTCTCATTAGCATTATTGTTGCAAAGTGTTCTGAATGTCTTGGATAAAAATGCAAGACATTACTACCTGCTGCTAAGGTTTAACACAGTGCTTTTCTCCAGCTGCCATTTTTCAAGTGAAAAGTGAAGTTAGAATAAAATAAGAATGAAATACAAAGAATCTTGGTCTCTGAGGGGAAGGCAGGTAGGTGGTAAGAAGAGGAGCTCTCATAATTACCATCTCCTGAAAAGGTCTACAGGCAAGGGCACTCGTTTTCTTTTCTGCTGAAAGTAAATGTTATAATAGATTCCTGCCTTCTGGAGACCAAAAACCCCTCCTCTCCAACAGTGTCTGAAAAACTAGCTAATGGGAAAACTTCCCACGAGCAGGCAGGTGTAACAATAGCAATAATCAAGTGGAGCAGCACATAGCACAAGAAACAAGGTGAAGGCAGGCAATCCCAGCTTGCTAAAAGGAAAGCTGATGAAAAACCAGTGTAGATTGAGTGTGGGAAAAGCTGCGCAGAGCATGTCGCATGGGACAGATGCTGGAGTGGGGCCCAGACAGGGGCTGCAGGCTGGCTAAGCTCCTACCTGTGGGCTCCACAGCTCCAGCTTCACTATGGCTGTGAGGTGCTTTCATAGGCCTTCAGTGCTTACACTCTGTGCCAGGCTTGTTACCAGTTTAGAATACCTATTCGGCTTACTTCAAGCACAAGCAGTATTTTAGATCTCACTGGGAGCCATAAAACAAGCTCAGCCAAGGGGAAAAAGGAGGCAGCTGAGGTCTGTGATATGTGAGAGCCCTGGGCCTGTGCTGCCTGAAAGCAGCTCTGCTCCAGCAGCCCAGTGCGGAGGCAAGGCTTTGTGGCTGATCTGAGCCTTGTGCTGCTCATGTTGCTGATCCCTGCTTCTCCAAGGGAAAACCTTCTGACACTTCCCCCGTCCTTCCTTTATACACTTATGGCATGAAAAATAAACACAGAGCATTATTTTTAAAACTACAGGCAATTCAGCAAATCCTCAAAGATTCTTAACCAGAAAGGAAAGTTTCACCCAATTTGTGGTTCGTGACCAAACGTTAATGAGCTTTAATGAGGCACGGTGCCTGTGCGGACAGCAGCAATGTGCTCAGCTTGCACAGTCAAAACACTGGCTTGTACACACACACAGACATCTTGTTTTCTCTGCTTTTCATCTGGCATTGCCATTGTGGTGAGTCTCTGGCTGTGCATTAGAAAACTGAGTCTGGCTATAGAGATGGAAGTGTTAACATAGGCAGGAAGGTTAGGGTTAGGATTAGGTTTAGGGTTAGTGTTAGGGTTAGGTTTAGGGTTATTGACTCTAAAATGATGCTTCGAGTTTCAAGTTGCCTCTGAAATTCACTTTTCCTTTTACCAGCTAAACTCTCTCCAGCTACTCCATATCTGTAAGAAGGAGCCATCAAAGAGACAGCAGCCTCAGACTTGCAGACCAGAGGAGGAAAAGGAAGGTGGAAAAATGAGTGGGAAAGAAACAGTCCCTCCAGCCCCAGGGGAAAGTCATGATGGCTGAACTGTCTCTGCTCCCCAGTGCTTGCTGGGGAATAACAGTGCCAGGATGGAATCTGCCTTTAGGGAGGAATGTGTGCATGGGAGGATGGATTACATAGGAGATAAGAGATAGTTTAGCAATTCCTAACTCTTTCCCTTTGGAATGCAGTGTAGGTCTGATAGGAGATGGTTACCAATGGGTCCCAGGTCAGGTAGCTCAAAGTGTGCCCCATACACCTCCAGGACGTAGCCTCTGGTCTCTCCAAACACCTCCACACTAAAACGCATTCCTTGCTGGAAAATAAAGGAAGAAATCAGGATCATCCCTGTACTTGGCTAACAAACCAAAAGCAACTTAATGCAGGACATGCCAGACACGCTGTGGCTTTGGCTGCCTCTAGCAGGCCCTCAGATTGCCCCAGGCCTACACATGACTGTGTAACCTTCTATGGCCACGCATCCCAAAATGTGAAGTGCTGCTCTTTGAATTGGGTGCTACTGCATTCTCCACCTGCAATGGGTGCCCTCTGGGGCTCTGCTACATGATGGAATTGGCTTCTGCTGGGTTCCCATGGTCCCTCTAGCACCACAGAGCTCAGCATAAACCACACAGAGCTCGGGTTTTTGCTGTTTGCTCCAACAACAGGCCCTCCAGCTAACCACAGCTCTTACCTGGATAACACAGATTTCATTGGGCTCCACTAGCATCTTCCCAAACTCAGTTGTGATGAGCAGTTTTCCTTGCTGGGGCACTATGGAAATAAAATGGAGGTAGAAGAGATGAAGGAGCAAGCTGTCAGTCACTATGTGTGATGTCTTCCCCTCAGTCCCCTTAGAAGGGGACAATTACGTTAGCTAGGTAGTAACTTATTCTTCCTGCTTTCTGAGAGCATAAGTAGTGCTTCACTAATGTCTACAGTACTTTCTTTGGCTTTTTGGCACCAAATTGCTCACATTTTGACATGGAAATCTGACAGATTTACAAAGCCTGCCCTTTTACCTCAATTACTAAAGGAGGTGGATGTGAATACTATTTTATGAGAGAAATGTTCCCACTGGTGAAGCATTTCTGTCCCATGGCTGAAAAAGATGCAGGTAAATATCAGGCTCTTGGTCTTACGATGCTGTACAGAGTATTTTTCTGCACGCACATTCTTCATGTTGCCAAGTCAGCTCTCATAATGGCAGTCTGCTTTCCTGAGGCTGGCAGAGTGTGGGAGCTAAGCTACCATGCCAAATCATCTTGGACTAAAGCAGTGAAGGCAATTCGCTATAAGCTGTTCAGAAATTCTAGAGCTTATGTTTTCCATAAAACCTCCAGTGTGCCTGCTAGGGATCTGGAAAGGGATCTCTGAGAGCCAGGCTGGGGAAGCTGGGTCGCTGCTCAAAAGCAACAATGAGTTTTGGCATGAGTGTGCTCCCTCTGTGCTGCTGGGTAGTGATGGGACAAGCCTGACAGCCCAGCTATTGCCAAACCACCAAATCTGGATGGCATGTGAGTGAAGTCATCCCTCCTCAAGTCTTTGCAGATGGCTGCCAGGCTCTGGCTCTGAAGGAGGAAATAAACAAGCAGGTGGCAACCTAGATAGGTCCTGCAGGAGAAAGGAGAAGCCAATGCATCAACTCACCAATCAGGAAGTCACCATCTGAATTATAAAGGCATCTAAAGGAAAAGGAGAACAGGAAGGTCAAGGCTTCACTTGTACGTATGCTCCTACGGAATCACAGCACAGCTGGAGCTGGACCTCTGGAGGTTACCTGGCCCAACCTCTGCTCAAGCAGGGTCACCCAGAGCAGAGTGCCCAGGACCAGGACCGGACCATGACCGTAGCAGCAGAGTTTTGAGCTGGGAGACCAACAGAA